GAAACTAACTGGAAGAGACAGGCATGAAGTGAAAAGGGAACCACATACTTTTAAAGTGTAAATTATTGCCCAAATCCATAGAACTCATAGCCGGAGACAGAAGCTGGTAACGTACCGAGGCACTAAAGGATACCTGCTGAGAACGTAGCTAAAGACACCCTTATCTTTGAGTACTAGCACAACTATGTCACTATCTGAGCTGCCTTCTCACTGAACAAAAGGTTGTATCAGTAACTCCAGACCACAATTTATTTACAAGCCAGAGTTTTAAATCTCAGTTGTGTACAGGGGCAGATGGTGAGGAGGATTCAGCTACACAGCAGCAAGAAAGGCGCCACTATAATAATTATTTTTAAACTTCTTGGGGTTTTTTTGGTTGAACATTTCAAGCACATGATATTTAGAACTGTGGAATACTGCCATGGCTAGGAGTGTGCATATTTTCAGTTTTTTATAGAGTTTATATTATACAGAGCTAGTGTTAGAACTGGATATTATCAGAAATGCCTACGTAGGTACACACTAATAACCTTGTAGGGTATGTGGACACCAGGAATACAAAATTATTTTACAGATAGTGTCCATATGAAATACAGCTGGTTACAAAGAATGATTTTATATGAATCTCTTTGGGACCAGCTTAGTACAGCAGAATAGTGAAACAGAGAATTATTGTTAGAAGTTGCAGTAATACAGTGTTTGCTCTCATTGCCAGGGAAACAAGAAGCTAAAACCAGATAACTTAAACAGATGTGACTGAGACACGAAGTGATAAGTATGCTGCAAATACAGGACCAGCTTTTTCCTCAGTTCTCATGTGGTCAATACCCTTTTTTGCTCCATCTCTTAAAAAAACCCCAGAAAGATCAATAGGAAGTGATTTGTAAAAATGTATATATATATGATATTTAAGCAGGTTTTATTCAGCTGAAGTTTATTCTGGTGAGATTTAGGAAGTTAAATCACATTGCTGCAGCCCGTAAGACTCACCATACACTTACTTAGCTCAAAGGCTCTTTTAGGCACCTCCTTACCTTTTACACTCCCCTACAGCAGATCTTAAAAGATCACATTGCTAGGTACCTAAATGCCCCATACGTGTCAACGCAACTAAAAAAATTAAAACCAAAATATTTTTTTAAAAAGGAAAAACGAGGGTGCCAGTAAATGCTGCTCACATCCCCATCAAGACTCACTTTCCTACAAGACTGATAGCCAAATGTAGGCAACGTGGAGCTCAGCACTTGCATTTATTGTTGTTCTGCTAGCATCAATAATAAGGAAACTGCATTTTCAATGGATGCACTTCAGTCAGCCAATTCAGCAAGAGTCAATTAAATTGAGTTTACATTTAGATTAGTGAGTAGTGGAGACCAACAGGAACTGACCTATAAAGCAAAACAGCTGGTGCTGAGAAACCAATGCCCAGGCTACGTGTGTTTCTGGGGAGGGTTTCTTATCACTAGTTCTGATGTGGTCCTGTGATCTGAAAGTGTATTAGTGGCTGAAGCACAGTACGCAGCCTCCTAAAGCCTATTTGCAGTTTAGTTTCATCTGAAACAAGTCAGGTCTGAGATCACCCAGTGGCGATCATCTGAGCACACTCTTGAATTGAACTAAAAGACATAGCTCCACCTCACGATAGCACCAGGAGACCACCATACCTCAGGTATCAGTGAATCTTCGTGGAAGGAAAATATTAGCTGCAGAATTGCTATAATATCAATCATCAGAAAGTCCACACGGAGGGTCTGCGTTCTTTTGGGGGGGAGAAATATAGACAATAAAAGGGGAAAAAAAAAACAGAACGGAACTTCTCCTGAAGTTGGGACAGTCAAAAATACCTGTCATGTGGAGTCTTACACACCTAATGAAGAAACAACCTAATGTGCAAGCATTTCTTCACCAGAATTATTAGGATCACTTGCCTGTAGCGAGTGACCTGTAAAACTTCCAGAAAGCTATAATTTGAGACTTATCTGTGCAACTTGGATGACAATCAAAAATGCCCCAAAAAAAGGACAAACGCATACAAACAGCCAAAGGGAAACTGTCAAAGACTGTTTCAAAAAAAAAAAAAAAACCCAAACGAACAAAAAACCCACACAAAAACAAACCCAAACAACCGCACAAAAAAAAACCCCAACAGACTAGAAAGTAAAGCCTGCATGCAAAGCAATTTCTTGTGCTGTGCATCTTTGCTATGAAAATACTTCATGCGGTATAATCCTTCACCCAAAAGGGCAGAGATAAAATCAACTCCTTGACACAGGGATTACTTCTGATCCCTCGTTTAACAATTATCAAATACAAAGGTCAAATAATTCTGAGGGTGAGAAGTAGAAACCTGTGAACAGAGTAGCCTAATCTGCAGGTAACAGTCATGGTCCTTTCTGTCTGGCTCTTCCCGCTGGTGAGCCTTGCAGCATTTGGCAGTGTTACGGTCTAGCATCCACAGAAGGAGAAAGCAACAACTGCACATTAACTAACTCACAGATCGCTCATTACTCAAGGGCATCCTGTTAGGATACGGATCTGGCTAAGGCTAAGAGACCTGAATGCAAGCCTCCCTCTTCCTGAGGGAATGCTCGTACCACCCGAGCCTCCCTTTGCGGATGTGTTTTAAGGAGAGCAAAGGTGTAGTTTGCTGCTGCCAGCAAAGCCAGTTTAAGAGGTTCTAGCATCAGCATCTTCCTGCCTCTCCCTCCCTCCCTCTTTGCCCAAGGATTACAGCACTCTCAGCTGTATGGATTCAGCTGTTTGCGTGGGCACACTTCAAACTCTTGCAGTGAAACAGTCTACTGTAAATGCAAAAACACCCTCTGTTGGGGTTTTTTTTTTTTTTTTTTAGGGAGGCCGAGGGAAAGGCTGGAAGGGAAGAGTGGGAGCCTGACTGTTTCCACCAGACTATTCCACAAAGCTATTTGTACGGCCACATTCTGAAACAGATGAGGGAACGAAAAATCTTTGAGGGTGGGAGGGGTGCAGAGATGAAATAGGGGTAGGGGGGAGGAATGATGCAAGCAGCTGGGGCTGGAACCTCAAACTGGCTCCGCTTCTGTAGGATTCATAATGGGGAGCTACACATGAAGCCCACATTTACTTCAGCATCTTTAATCAGGAAAGGACTCCAAGTACACACTCGCTAAAGGTCTGAAACACCCAAAATGCAGCCTTGAGTCAGACACCAAAGCTTCCAAGAAAGGCAGCAGTTCTCAGCTTCCCATGTCCTGCTCATCAGTTTCAACTGTCTCTACACACAGCTCGTGGGCCTCAGCTTGCACTTTTGTAGATGCCCACCTACCTGTGCTGGCCCGGGAGGAAGCAGAGGCATCCAGCCTCTGCAGCCCGAATCACTGTGCTATACCCAGGCACCCAATTTTTGGGTATAATAATTATGAAGCTGGAGGAGTCCAGAAAAGATGGTCCCCTAAACTTGCCTACAATTGCCAGAAATAGACCCCCTCCTTTATTTTATTTTGCTTGCATCCTTGCTAAGGAAAATGAGAACAGGAAACAGCAAGAGGAAGTGTAAGAAAATGCTGTATCTGCTGCTCGGTTTTTCCACTTTCCATCAGCTCTACTGAGGCCCCTCTCAGAGTCACTGTTTTTTGGGAAAGATGCCACCTTGTACAGTGTTTCTCCTCCTGGTGGGAACAACTTTGGGTGGATTAGAGAGGTACTGCTAGGCAAAGCACATCTTTTTGATTAAATATTTCTAAGGAACATTCCCCACCACTTCGCAGAACTTGTTTACATCTCAGCATTTCAGCCCAAGTTCAACCTGTGCTCTTTTTAAGAGGATTTTGTTTGAATGAGATATGTAAGTCAGGAGTCTCGAGCTCCATTCCCTTTTCTGCTCCGACTTTGATGTGTGCCTTTGGGCAACACATTTACCCTCTCTGTGTCAGCCTTCCCCATCTGCAAATTAGAGCTTTTCATAATTATCTTAATAATCCGTTAAGCACATTGAGATTTCTGAATAAGCGGTACAATGTATAAAGGTTAATATTGTTTTCAAAAGCTAAAGTAACCCTCCTTATGTCACTATTGCAGAAATACTGCATCTGATGTTTGAAAAATATATCTGCCAAGTAGATGTTACTGCAGTAAATGTTCAGCATATGTTTGCTTCTACTGACGCACACTATTAGAAAAATTGCTTGAGACAAATTGAGATATTATAGAACAACCCTATTATGAAGCTAGACCACAAAAAAGCTTTTTTTAATTTAAACTAGATCATCAATAGAATAGGGAAGAGATGGATGAGAATGGGAAAGTTGGTTGTAATTATTTCTCTGAAGATCTGGAACATTATCTGACAGCATTTCAATTCTTGAGTCTCTATCAAAAGACTGGCAGTACTCCAAGGTCTTCAAGACGTTTTGGTCCTTAAGGGTAGCAGGAGGATAACAGTTTCAGCAAAAGGCCTTTACTTGCTATTACTTGCTAGCCTTGTGCTATCCTGCCTTCAACTTCTT